GTGAACTGACCATGCTGTAGCACATGTTTCTGATCAAAGTATTGAAAAGAACACTACAAACAGAGATTTTAAAAACATTGTCCTCATGTACTTCCCTCGCCTATCACATGCCCCCTTTTACTATAACTAAGTAAGTAATGTCAGGAAGTGGAAGAGAAAGCAGCGAGAACACCAAAAGAAAACTGCCTCTCTTCTCTCCTTGTTGATTTTGGCCTGTTGGTCGAGCTCATTAGGAATCTTCAACTCAAAGGCTTTTAGAGTTCGAAGTGTTCTTGAAGACCATCCAAAATAACTCCTTCATTTTACAAATGAGGAAGCTGCAACTCAGATCAGTAAAACAACTTGCCCAAAACATAGACTGACACGCTGCCCAACCTGGGTGGGTAAATTGAATTAATAGTCGCAAGTTGAATTAATAGTCATAAGATGCTTATTGTTCAGGAGAATATAACCAACCCATCTGCACGTCCTGGAAGGTTCCAGTACCCCATATTGAGAGTCCTTCCAGGCTGGAAGGGTGTTCATCAAGACAGCTCTGTGCTGCTGAGGCCCAAACCTTACCCGCTCAGGGGCTCAAGAGGAATCAAGGTGGTCCTAAGATACCTCAGAACTGAAAGTGAGTGTGTTTTAAGTGAATGCGTGAAAAACAAATCCACAAGATACATGGCACTGTTTTTCTTATAGTTTGCAAAAAATATACATACAGATATATAGCCATATATAGGATCAGTGATGCAATGATAAGCATGGGTGTTCATTCTCAGACCCACTCCTATCACTCTGTGGCTTTCATGATAAGTAGATTATGAATATCACAGGATTAGTGTAGAACATTTAGATAAACTAAGAGTGTTAGGGCAAATGGAAGGAAGGAGAGAGAACACAGACATGCTATGTTACTATCTAAGTATCGGTAGGAAAGCCTTCTCTAACATGCTGTAACAATATTTGGCTCCTGGGCAGTGGTTTTTGTAGTTAATGCTGCGTTTATCAGGACTCAGTTTCTTCCCGCCTGGTTAGCGCACACCCCCTCACTGGAATCTAGGAAGGAACGGATGTATGCTGACACTACGTTTGATGCTCAGAAAATCTTTGAGCTGGTGAAAGGCACACCTGTGTTGTTTGGCAGGTGAGTTGAATCTCAAGTCAAGAAAGAATTTCTGCAAATCTCCTGTTCAGTTGGCTAAACTGGTTTCCCTTCTATTGAACAACCAAGTGGGGGGATTCTTCTACTTTTCTTTAATAAACATAATAATGCCAAAGAAAAAACTTCCAATCTAATCTCAGTGGCTTGGGTCTCAAGGAAAGGCTCAGCATTTACTTCAGGGCATTACCTGTATTCATGCCAAAATTATCAACTTATAGGTAAATTAAGTAGTTTTCTTTTTTTTTTAAAGATTTTATTTATTTATCTTTAAAGAGGGGAAGGAAGGGAGAAAGAGAGGGAAAGAAACATCAATGTGTGGTTGCCTCTCGAGCGTCCCGCAACCCAGGCATGTGCCCTGACTGGGAATCGAACCAGCAACCCTTTGGTTTACAGGCCAGCACTCAATCCACTGAGTCACATCAGCCAGGGTGAATCAGTAGTTTGCACATAGGAAAATAATCCACAGCTATTTTTGTAAAGACCAAAGTATTGTTAATTCAGGTGTTACTTTGACTAATTTGGAGAAGTAACTTCCTAGCTGCATTCGGTTTTATATTTAAATTAAGAATAGTTTGTTATGAAGAGTTAAATAAAAGTTTCAGTGAACTGACTCCTAAAGAAAATAAGGAAGCATTTATCGGCTGAAAGGTACTCTGTAAATCGGTTTGCAGATTAACTGCAAAGGTTATTTGGGACTCTATAATCTTAAAGTGAAATAGGCCATTTATCCATTCTTTCTTCTTCAAAATCTTTATTTGGTCCATTTCATTTTCTGGACATTCTTATGTTAAATTATGTGGTAGTCTGTACTGTCTTTAGGTTTCTTCGGACTAAACTGGTTTTGAAAAGCTTAAGATATAAGACATTCTAAAATAAATGGTTGATTTATTACATAATGTCCTTTAAGTATTAAAGAAAAGTTAATAATTTTCATCTTTTGGTCAGGCACTTGTCGGGTCTAAAATAATAACTCTTTATAGTAAATATGTAGTACATGCTGGGGAAGAAAAAGTGTTTAAGGTTGTCCAGCCTCATAGAAGGAACAAAGGGTAAAAGTAGAAGATTAATCAAGTCCCCAGGCATGACGACCCTAGTGTGTTTGAGCTGGCAAAGGAACTAACAGTGCTGCCAACCACGTCTTAATTGACAGGTTGCTTATGGTATTTTCAACTCCTTTTAAGTCACAACTGTGTATGAAGCTCTACAGCAAAAGAATATTTTGTTTTTCAAAGTTTTCAGCTAAGAGATCAATATTCTTCTCTCTATAACACACGAGATCTGTTTGACCAAGTTAATAGGTTATACACATAAGCGTGTATCTTGGACAGTCAGAACCGTGGTTCCCAGCCTGGCTGTAAATTCGCAGCTTTGGAAAGGTTACTACTCCAGCCGCCCCCAGGGATTCTGGCTTGAAGGATTTGATCTGGTGATGGTGACATAGCAGAGAGGGGGGAGCAGGGGGTGCAGCTGTTGCTCTTTCTTGGAGACCCTAGTTAGAATTCAGAATTTGTTTCCTCTGGAAGCTCTGTTGCCACGCTGATCTGGGCTTACAGATTCTTTTTTAAGTACAGTAGATAGAGCTATATTATCTGTTCAGTACCTTCTGAGACCTGATCTGAAACACCAAAGCATTCCTCATATTCCTTCTTTTAACAAGCAATGTGACTTTGGTTCTAAACGCCGGAATGTATAGCCGACCTGTTGATAAAGTAGGAACTGCTTTTGTCTTCAAGGTCATCACACTGCACCTTTTTATGTGTCAAAAGTCAGTCAGTATTTTCATCTTTTGAAAAAACAAAAGAATCAATAATTTCAGTGAGTACCTACCACGAGGAAGACAGAAGCAAACAAAGAGACTGAAAAAAACAAGGCCAGGAAATAAAGTACAAAACCATAATTTGCGAAGTTTTTAATTTTGGAAACTCCACAGGGAATGTCTTGGTTCATGAGACTGTGTATTTTCTGAACAGTAGATGGATCAGAAAAATAGGTAGATCATGCAGAAAGAAACATGGCGTAGAAATAGTTGTGGAAAAGAAACCAGAGGATAAAAGCACTTTAAACAGGCAAATCATACAAAAGGATAAAGAACATTTTGTAGTCCATACTCAAAGTGACTGTTTTGAATAGCAGGGAAGATAAGGATGAGGTTAGGCAGGTGCTTCACAGACTGTTTGCAAGTTTGACCCACAGGTGAACCCCATGTGACGCACCAGGACAAACTGAGACCACCAGCAGTACCGTGGAGTAGCCATGTTTCTCTCCCACCAGGCAAACCGTCCCCCCCCACCTTATTCCCACTCACACAAGGCAAGCACACGTGCGCGCCTCTCCCAAGGCCTGCCGCACAACCGAAGAGGAGGACTTGCCTGCGCTGTCTCAGTGCAAGGTTACAGCATTAGGGTGGAAGTTAGAGAGAGAGACGTTTGGGCTCAATATGAAGAAAAAACTTTCTAAAAGGCTGTCAACACCAAGCCAAACCACAACATACACTTTGCCATGCGCTGAACCCGGGGCTCTGAAGGTTAGAGCAATGAACTGACCATTATCCCTTTAAATAGAAAAGGGAATTGTGTTTGGTGTGAGCATGTCCCAACGGTCTTCAATGGTCCTTCCACATCTAAGTCTTGCCTCTGCAGTCCAGCCTCCTCCTCTCTTCTCCTTAAGCATCTAATCACCTCAAATTTCATTTGTATCCATTTGGTTAAAAAAAAAATATGACAAAGGGGAATTGAGAAATTCATCACAAAAAGCCAAAGTGTTCCTGCACAAAGCTTGTGAAACAGGTTAGCAACTAGCTTTATTGCAGCAGACTCATTTATAGGTTGTACACCTTTGGTTACTTTTGGCAAGAAGTGAACCCTGAAAGTTCATACCAAGAACTGCAAGAACTTGAAACAGATAACTACTAACCTCATAGTAAAGCCAGTGTCTTTGGTCTCTCGTCTATGCCCAGATTTGTGAATCTCAGACGCAGAAAGTCCCACCCCCCCCATCTTTACGTATATCTTGAGACACTAGTAGTGACGGAATGAATTAAACTCACCAATTAGGAATGAAATGTGGAGGTGGAAAGAACAAGGTACAGAGCAGTTTCCACTGTGACAGAACCTTCCATTCATTGAATACACTCGGACCTGGGAGCCGGGGACGTCTTAAATTCCTGTCCTGTCTGTAGTGCATTAGTCTCAGCAGGCCAGCATTGTGGCTGGGACATTCAAGCTCCAGATGGCAATGGAATCTCCGACGGAGCCTGTGGCCTCCATATGGAGCAATCTTGAATTTAGGTTTGTGCCAAGCACCTCTTTACAGTGACTTTCCGTATATCACCGGGCCAAAGAGAATGGAAGAATTCTAAAGCAAGGCCGATGCCGTGACACGAAAACCTTTCGGAAGTTCAGCAAGCCCAGGCTGCATTACCAGGCCTTGTGCTTCCAGGGCACACCAAAGGCTTTTCGGCTCTGCTTTTACAAGGTACTCTTTGGAAGCCAGGCTGTTTGCCATGGGTAGGTCTGGGTACGGGAGTGGGCAGGAGGGACGCACCAGGTCCTCCGTATCCGGCTGCCAATCTGTCCAAGAGCAGAGCCGTTCTCCGCGGCCCCTGGGCCCCTGAGATGTGGGGGAAGGTGGGGGAGGGGTGCGCAGGCCCCTGTTTGTCCTGACCTCGCGCGCCACGCCAGCTGGCCGGAGAGAACGTCTGCAGGCAGCGACACTGAAAGCGCCGGAGCGCGCTGTGCCTCCGGAGGCGCGTCTGCAGGTGGGTGCGCGCCCCCTAGCGCCCGATCTCGGGCGGGGGCGGGGCGGAGGCGGAGCCCCGGTCCCGGCGCGCGGGGTCCGGGCGCTGAGTGGGAGCGTGAGCTCCAGCGCCAGCGCGGCTGCTGCAGCGGGCGGCATGGCGAACACAGCCTTGGAGATCATCGCTTTCGTGGTCTCTATCTCGGGCTGGTTACTGGTATCTTCCACGGTGCCCACCGACTACTGGAAGGTATCCACCAACGACGGCACGGTCATCACCACCGCCACCTTTTGGGCCAACCTATGGAAGACGTGCGTTACCGACTCCACGGGCGTCTCCAACTGCAAGGATTTCCCTTCCATGCTGGCGCTGGACGGTCTGCATCCCCTCGGCCCCCGCCCCCGGCCCTCACTCCTATCAGGCCAGCCGGCGGGGGCGCCCGCTGGGCTCCACGACCCGCGGTGGGACCCCCGGGTCCCCCTCCTCTGAGGCCGCGTCCCGCTTTTCCCCTAGATCCAAGGGAGCTGGCGAGAGGCCCCGTTCCGTCGCCTGCCGTCCTCGGACGTCTGTCCTGCGTGGACGTCTGTCCTGCGTGGGCGTCTGTGGGAGCCCGGGGTCCCAGGGTGGTGGCGGGCCACGCAGACAGGGCTGGATGGGGTGGGTGACTTGCGGGTGTCGGGGTGGAGGCCAGCAGCTTTGCTGTCCTGAGAGTCGAGGACACGGTTGTGGGCCCCCATTTCTTGCGGATCGTTAGGACACGGAGTCACGCAAGGGACCTTTGTCTTCTCCATCTACTTCCCAGGGCTGGACTCGGATTAAAATGGTTTCATTGACTTGTCAAAGCGAAATGGGCTTGCCCGAAACTCCCCTTAGACTTTTCGTGAATTCTTTTAAAAGTGGGCAGGAGAAAAGGAATCATATTACAGGGGGAGTTACCCCCCACCCACCTAAAATTCCGCCACAGACCCGTCAGCCTGGGCTTTAAAGCTTCTTCCCAATTTTAGGAAAATAGCCCTTGCCTGTGCTGCCCGAGGTAGAGGCTCTTCTTGTGCCTGAGACCGACACGTTTTGCGTCCGTGAGTCTCCGGGCCTCCCTTGTGGCGTGGTTATGTAAATTGTTTTCTTCGTTGCTTTTTGTTAATTAGGCTTTCTGTTGCATTGCATTATTACAGCAGGTAGAAAGATGTTCACGAAGAAAACGGACTCTGTTTTCCGGAGAACAGGAGACGTCAACGTGGTCTCCTCTTCCAGGATTTTACAGCACTGAGCGTGGGGAGACCAAGGCAGGAGCTTAAGGAGAGTCGTCTGTATTATTTCTAGACCTGAGGTGTTCTCTTTTTCTTTTATTGCCTTAAGTTTTTATTTGCGTAGCTGAGCAAATAAAAGACAAGATTTAATTCCCCTAAGATGGTGCTTGCCACAGAAAGCACACTGTTGCTCACCGTGGTATTCGATGGAACCTGCGTATTGAGGGCCTCCGTGTCTAGTTTTAGATGGGTGTCACCTGGGTCTGCGTCGTGCTGTGTCAAGTGCTGGGACACTGTGGATTCCCTGGAATTACTGTTGAATTTCCTGCGCTCTGCACAGCCCACATCCAGGTAGATGCTTTGAACAGGCAGGCTCTTGTTTCTGTGTATCTGTGGTTTACATGCAAGAACACAGGATAGACAGTTACTGTTTTAAGCACATTCCTCTGTTGTAATATATTGTTACCTGAGATAGTGTGCCAGACAGGTGTACTTCCAGCAAGAGAGAAGGGAGACAAATGCTCCCTGGGTATCACTACAGGCAGAATTGTGAGGTTTTCACCTTACACATCTGAGGTGAAAGAGGACAGGGGATCAAGATTTGTGAGCAGGAGAGAGGAGGGCTGCGCCCCGGAATCGCTAAGCTCTAGAGGGAGTTGAGAATGGAGCAAATAGAACAGCAGTAACATTTATAAGCAACCCAGCTTGCAAAATGACCTTCCATGTGCGCGCGTGTGTCTTGAGAATGACTTTTAAAAACATCAGTGACATTACACTGCCTCCTTTTTTGCAGCATTCTAAAATTAATAACACATTTTTCCCAGTTTATACCTATAGAGATTGCACGAAATTCATTAGTCTGGACAGACTGGTTTATTGAACCATTTACCCATTGTTGGATATTGGACCCTTTCCAGCTTTCCATTCTTGTTAGTGCTTTACGAAAAAATCTTGATATTTGCCTCTTTGTGTGTATGTGTATTGTTATAAATACTGAGAAATTATCAGGGAAGTAGAATATTCATTTTAATATCCAGTTTAATACTGCCAAATTACATTCTACCAACAGTGTATGAGAATACCTATTTTTGCACATTCTCATCACGAATATTGTGGGTGACATTGTATCGTGTTATCATTTTTATTGGCACTTCCCAGATCACCACTGATTTTGACTCTCTTACCATGTATTGATCTTTTTTTCCCTTTTTTGTGTTGCTCATCCATATCTTATGCCCATGGTTCTGTTGTTTCCTCTTGGCTTAAATGGTTTCTTTTTTAAATTTGGATGTCAATCTTTGATTTATTATATATGTTGCAACCTCAGCCCCTTGTTTGTCTTTTAAATTTATGAGGACTTTTCTCATATAAAACTTTGCGATGTGTACTAGAATCAGATTTATCGGACTCTGCCTGTTGGCTCTGCCTTTTGTGGCTTAGGAGGGCACTGCGTACCCCAAAGCGAGAGGTTTTACTTTTCTGTATCTCCCAGAATAACGGGGATTCTGTGACACGTGTCCATTTTTATAGAGAGAGGAGCGGATCCCCGCCATCTGCAGGTGGAGCTCCTCACATCGGGCCCCTCTGCGTGTGCACGCCCTGCCATGTGTTCCCAGGGCAGCCACACCTGCTGGATGCTGCTCCTGGGGCCGGCCCTGCTGGCGGTGCGCCACACGTGGCTTCCTGACATGGCCTTGGAAGTGATGGGAGCAGGCTGGCTGACCTTGACCATGGTGGCCACGGGCCTGAGCACACAAGCCCTCTCCTTAAACCAGGCAAAAGGTCTGGATTGAGAAGAAAAGCCCAGAAGGGAGAGAGAAAGCTTACGGGTCTCTCGTCGAGTCTTGGACGGTAAAGCAAGCCTCTTGGAAGCAGATGAGGGGGTCCATATCCTGAATTTCCTGTGTGAGGTCAAAACTCTGATTCCTCATCATGAAGGGGTACCATAGTCACCCCGGTTTTCCCTACTGGGAAAGTGAGGCTGAGAAAAGCTACATGTCTGGAGTTAATGGTATGCCATGTTAGGACCCCACCTCTAGTTTCTGTTTACAGTCAGTCTTAGGATTATGGAAGAGAAGCCTCTGCGAGTTTCTTACCCCTCACCAGACGACTTTGTTCATGTGATTCATCCTGGGAAGTAAAAGCTGTTATCCTTGTTTTATAGCTGAAGACAGAGAAATTGGCTGATAGAATGAAGGGCACACAGTGGGTGAAAAGAAGATTCAGAGCTGAAGTTCACAGTTGATGCCTTCCCTCCATCCTGAGCTCCTTTCAGAGTATTTGCAGGGAAGTACACAAAGCTACTAGCATGGGAATAGCACATTCCTTTTCTCTCCCTTCAATACTAGCGCATGTGCGACGAGGAAACTGTCTCCACCAAGTGGCTATTTTCATTTTTACTAGTTTGAAACAGAAGATAAGGCACCCATCATTTGGAAAATAACTTTTAAGGGACACCTTGAAGGTTTCCTCCGACAGAATTCATTAAAGTCACTGTATTTTATTAATTGAAGACTTCACAGTTGAATGAGCTAGTGATTTGTTTATTGCTAATCCGCGCTCCTTTCAAAACACCACTTGAACTTCGCCTGAGACTAATTTTCACCCAGGTTGTTTTTTAGCAGATGCCATCTATTTTTGTTAGTGAGCATGTTTGCCATTTCTTCCAAGGGAATGGTAACTATAAATTATACTTCAGAGAACTTCTAAGTAAATATGTTCATGCCTCTGCACTTTAATGTGTTAATTAGCTATTAACAGTGTGAGTAAATTAGACCTGTCAAAAATAATGGCCTCCTTGACTAGTTTTTACCACCACTTCACTTGCTGGTTTTGCTTGTAAGCTTTGCCCCAAGGACCGTTAAAAAGCGAGGTTGTAGAAGTCTGCCTTGCAAAAGATAAACTCTGAGTTTGTTGCAAGTCAACTAAGGCCTGAGTCTGTGGGTGCTACAAGGATGGGGAGCCCTTATTTACAAACCCCAGTCTTCCCAGTAACTGGATTCACAGCTGGCATGGGGCTTATCCCTAGGAACCCCCATCTCTGCTCTTTGCTCCCCGTTTCAGAAAAGCTAGCCAGTGATTGCACTGGTGAGCACCTTCTTTTGTGCCTACGACAAATTAGGCATTTATTCTTTGGTACTGTTTTCACGCCAGAGCGACGTACCTTGCCCTCAGATCAGGGTTCTGAGTGGTACTGGGGAGGAGCCGGACCTCAGCAGAACCTTGCTCTCTGCTGTCTGACTCGGGCCGAGAGACCCGCCTGCTGTAGCTACCAGGGCTGAGGTGGGAGAGCCAAGTGAGAAACTCAGAAGAAAGGCTGAGGAGTGGTTCAATCTAGTTTAAAGACTGCTACTGTTTTCCTAGTCATATCAAGGATCGAATTCATCAACCTGGGATTCTAACCATCTGGGGAAACACATTTTGTGGTCTAAATGTTCGGAATGTGGGACTTAATCTTTTGCCAGCCCCCTGCATTTTCTGTTCATGAAGACTATATGGTTATTAAAGTCAGTGCAAATTAAGGTGCATGATAAAGTTTTCTAGGCTAGCTTTTTTTTTTTTTAAACACATGTTGTATAGAGGTTATATCACACATGTGCACACTGTTTTGTCTGTTTAGTGGTGTGGTCAGAGTCAGCTACAACACCTCAGAGCCATAGATTAAAATAAAGCTCAAATCATAACTGACCCACTGTCTTGGCAGCTCTGGGGGTAGATGAGGCAGCTGTGGTTCTGGAAGAGTCTTTTTAATCGTGCACAGACTGACAGGCTTCCTCTCTCTGTGCTTCTACCTGCCCCCTGGGCTCTGGCAGAAGGACCCCAGGGGTGAAGTTTAAAGTAGAGGGGGCCAATATCGGGCAGCAGACACCAGGGAGCCCTGGAGCATGGCTATTGCTCCCCGGATAAGCCTCCTTTTTCCTGTTTTGCTAAACGGACGTTTTCGTTGCTGTTTTTGATTGTCCCACCATCAGTGAAATTGATTCCTGTTCGGAAGTTGTTCGTGCTGTAAAGTAGGTTATCATTGCAGTCTGAATTTAAGGGGGCCTACATGTGTTCAATTAAATAGAGCGTATTCTGTGAACTCTTGAAAATAGCTCCTAGAAATAGGATTAAAACTTAAAATTTTGTTCTTTCCCAAGAAGCATGGGCTGGAGGCCACCAGCCAGCATTATTTTATGAATTTAAGATTATAATGGTCTTTGAATTCTTGTTTATTGTAGCTTTGGCCTGAGGACGAATAATAAATGACTTTCAGTATCTTGGCAGTAGTGAGTTTTTTCAGATTAACAAGTTTATTTCCAAATGTAAACCTGCTATATTTGTATGTCCATTTGCTTAACAATTATATACTTACACCTAGTATGGGCCGTCTTTCAGATTGAAACGGGCGTTGTTTCAGGCTGAAGTGAACCTGTCCGTATTGGAAAAGTTTATTAGTTTTAAGTGTTACTAATTTAAAATTTGCTAGTGCCTGGAGGACAGCCAGGCTGAAGGGTACCCTAACCCTAGCTGTGTAAATAGAAATATGTGACGGAGGAAATGATTGGTGCAGGAAGAACGATCAAAGGTTTACTTTTCTGTATCTCCCAGAACAAGCATTTAGGTTACTTTGAAAGCATCCATTTATGTGTAATCAGTTAATTTAATAATTATAAACTCTTCTTCCAGTAAATAGCCAATGCTTTTTTTTTAAAGCCAAATGTTATTATAGGTACCCTGGAAAATAATATATCATTACAATGCTTCCTAACTTAGACTCCTCGTGGTTCATGATGATATTCTAGTTGGTCTCCTTTATCAGCCTTCACTGCTATTGGAAGATTTCACTGTTTGGGAGGTCTGGCTGCCCAGTTATAAATTTTATAATGTCAAAACCATTAAAACATCTATTTAAAAGCTCCAGCGTACAAAGAAAGAGGGTTGAGATAGTGGCAGATGGTGTTTCTCACATGAAAGGTAGTTACCTGGACTTTGTAGTCACATTTATATGGAATCCATTTCTGCCTCTTACCAACTTACCTCTGGCATAACGCGTGAACTTTGCTTGCCGCAGGTTCCGAATTGCATGTCCGGAGTAGCACTCAGAGCTAATCTGAGGACCGTGCCATAAACCCACCTGAAAAGCGTGTGACGTAGAACAGGCACTCCGTATACACTGACTTGCTTTTCATTCTTGCTTGTCTTACCCCATGTCTCAACAATTTTGGTCTTTTTTTTTTTTTTTTTTTTGAGAACAGAACAATTATTCAGAAGGACAATAGAAAACGAGGGTCCCCCCCACCCACTGGACAGCTGCTAGTTTTATGTTCATGGCAATGACCTCTTCTAATTGCAGGTTACATCCAGGCATGTAGAGGACTTATGATCGCCGCTGTCAGCCTGGGCTTCTTTGGTTCCATAATTGCCCTGTTTGGAATGAAGTGCACCAAAGTCGGAGGCTCAGAGAAAGCCAAAGCTAAAATTGCTTGTTTGGCTGGGATTGTATTCATACTGTCAGGTAAGTAGTAGCTTTCCTCCCAACCAGGTACTTCCTTCATGTTAATGAAATACCACTCACTAACCACTGTGCTTGCCATCTGGTACTTTTTAGGGCTGTGCTCAATGACCGGTTGTTCCCTGTATGCAAACAAAATCACAACGGAATTCTTTGATCCTCTCTATATTGATCAAAAGTAAGTGCTCTTCTCCTTCTGTATGTTTCTAGCTCACAGGAAATGTACATAAAATCATTTTCTAAATGAATTTACATAAATTTCCTACATGGTTTATGAAAAGGACGTGAGAAATACAAGTAGATGATATTTGATGAAATGATGCAGGAGTAAATGTTTTACACGCTACGTTGGCAAATCATGCATTTGATCACTGTGTTAGGATTATATGGTGTCTTGTCTCTAAACAGCTCAAGGTGTAGGATTTAGAAATCTAAACTCCATCCACTGGACGTCCTGACACTGGAGCTAGATGGAGGAAAAGTGGTACAGAGGGTTAAGATGGGAAGGAAAGAATGATGGAGCGTGAGCACAGCACGGTAGCACCTTGCCTTGATTTTGTCCGACCGCAGTGGTCTTTGCCAGATGCTAACATCTGGCCCAGTTTCAGTCTCAACATAGAGATGAACATTGAGATGAAAACTGAAAGGAAATTGTGCTCTCGAAGATTAGACATGTTCTAATGATATTTAAATGAAATATTATTTTTCATTTGTCATTAGCCTTTTACATTTGCTCTGTCAATAACTACGGCCTGAACAAGTGCCACCTAATAAATCTTTATGAAAAAAACTGAACACGATGCAAGTTGGTTGCTTTTTTTTTTAATGCTCTAGGAGTGGCGTAGACACTCAGACGTGACCAGTTTCAGTTGCAGATGAATGCTCTGGCATTTACAGATCGGTTTCTTTGTTGTTGTTTTAACTATGAGCTGTTGCTTTTTATAGTTTCCCTATGCTTATTTCTTTGCATTTGGGAAAACCCCAAGGATACTAAATTAGAAATAATCCTCTCTCAGATATTTTGTCTTTCTTTTTTTTATTACATCGTATTGATTATGCTATTACAGTTGTCCCAATTTTTCCACCTTTGCCTCCCCTCCACCCAATAACCCTACTCCCCCAGGCAATGCCCCCACCATTGACCATGTCCGTGGGGCGTGCATATAAGATCTTTGGCTACTCCATTTCCTATGCTGTACTTTACATCCCCATGGCTATTCTGCAACCACCGATTTGTACTTCTTAGTTCCCTCGCCTCTTCACCCATTCCCCCAGGCTCCCCTCCCATCTAGCCACCTTCAAAATGCTCTCTGTATGCACGGTTCTGTGTTGTTGTTTGCTTAGTTTGTTTTTTAGACTCAATTCTTGATAGATTCGTATTTTTTGCTATTTTATTATTCATAGTTTTGATCTTTTTCTTAAATAAGTCCCTTTAATGTTTCATATACTAATGGTTTGGTGATAATGAAGTCCTATAGTTCTTTCTTGTCTGGAAAGTTCTTTATCTGCCCCTTGATTCTAAGTGATAGCTTTTCTGGGTAGAGCAATCTTGGCTGTAGGTCCCTGCCAATCCCTTCTAACCTGCAAAGTTTCTTTTGAGAAATCAGCTGACAGTCTTATAGGAACTTCCCTGTAGTAACTAACTTCTTTTCTCTTGCTGTTTTTAAGATTCTCTTTTTATCTTTAACCTTTGGCATTTTAATTATGATTTGTCGTAGAATGGACCTCTTTGCATCCCTCTTGTTTGGGACTCTGTACTTCCTGGACTTGCATGTCTATTTCCTTCACCAAATTAGAGAAGTTTTCTTTCATTATTTTTTCAAATAGATTTCCAATTTCTTGCTCTTTCTCTTCTTCTGACACCCCTATGATGCGCATATTGGACTTCTTGAAGTTGTCCCATAGGCTATTTATACTGTCCTTGTTTTTTTGAATTCTTTTTCCTTCTTGTTGTTCTTTGCTTCCTTATGTTCCAAATCATTGATGTGACTCTTGGCTTCATCTGCTCTACTGTTGTTTCCCTGTAAATTGTTCTTTATTTCAATTAGCGTATCCTTCATTTCTAACGGCATCTTTTTTATGCTGCTGAGGTCCTCAGTAAGTTCCTTGAGCATCCTTATAACCAGTGTTTTGAACTCTGCATCTGATAGATTGCTTATCTCCATTTCATTTAGCTCTTCTTCTGGAGTTTTGATCTGTTCTTTCATTTGGGCCACGTTTCTTTGTCTTCTCGTTTTGGCGGCCTCCCTGTGTTTGTTTCTATGTATTAGGTAGAGTTGCTTTGACTCCATGTCTTGGTACTGGGGCTTAATGAAGTGGGTGTCCTATAGTGTCCAGTGGCACAGCCTCCCCTGTCACCCAAGCTGGATACTCACGGTGAACACTGCATGTGGGCTGAGTACACCCTCCTTTTGTGGTTGAGCCTTGGTTGCTGTTGGCACATCAGTGGGAGGAATTTACCCAGGCCAGTCAGCTGCAAGGATTGGCTGTGACCACTTACCTCCAACCTCTGTCCTGTGTGGAGAATCAGCTGTGCGGGGGCAGGGTGGTGGTGCTCCGATATGGTCTGTAGTTGTCCACTGGGTGTGCTGGCCCTGGGGTTTCCCAGGTGGTGCAGGTCAAGGTCAGCCCCGACCTGTTTTGCCCAGGGCCACCCTGCCTGAGCTATGAAGCAATCTGAGATGGCTGCTACTTGTGCTGGGCTTGGAGATTCCCAGGCAAAGCTAAACTGTGAATCTAATCTCGCTACTTCTAGTGCAGGGCCTGGGGCTCCCTGAGGTCATCTGTTGCTTGTTTGAGAGGATTTAGGAAGTTGTGAAGTGTGAGCCAAGACCCACCATTCATATGGAAAAGCAATTTGGGTGGGCCTGTAAATTAAGTGGGGCAGAGCCTCTGAGGATAACCAAGGCAGGTCAAACAGTGTCAGCCAGGTTGATGGAGTCTCAGACATGGCACCAGCTTGTTGGCTCTGTGGGGGTAGCGTGTAAAAATGGGACAATGCCTCTGCTTGTTTTGATGCCAGACACTCAGTCTCTGCCTATATACCACTGGTACCTTTCAAGTTGCTACCCCAGTGGTGGAGCTCAGAGGCAGTGAGTCCGACCGAGTAGGTGAGTCCATGTGTCGATTCTTTAAGAGGAACTGCTTGGGGCTCCAACAGCTTCTCCCAGTGACTCAATCCCTGTTAGTTTTTGCAGCCAGAATTATGGGGACTTATCTTCCTGGCCCTGGAACCCTGTACTGGGGGGCCTGATGTGGGGCTGGGATTCCACATTCCCAAGATATCCCTCCTGAATTTTTATCCATCATACGTGGGTGAGGGGCCAGCCTGTTCCACATCTGCACCCCTCCTACTAGTCTAGATAGGTGTGGTTTCTTTAATTCCATAGTTGTCAGACTTCCATTCAACTCAATTTCTGATGGTCTGAGTGATGGTTGTTCTATATTTTAGTTGTAATTTTGATGTGCTTGTGTGAAGAGGTGAGCCATGTCTGCCTATGCTGCCATCTTGACTAGACGTTCATATTTTGCCTTTCATGAGAATATACCCAGGTACCTTGTGAAAAGCCGCATGTGTGTGCAAGAATATTGCTGTCAACCAGGCTGGTGCTTCTCTTTCCATCTTCAGATCAAATGTCACAGAATTTTTAAAAAGTAATAACTAAAATGGCCGATCAGGCCTACATTACTTTTTTTCAGTGTATTTGGAAATCTTAAAAAGATTGACTTTCTAGTTCTCTCGTTAGTATAGTTTATGCATAAATAGCAAATGCTTATATAATGAAATGCATATATAATGACATATAAAGGAGATAACAGCTAACACATCAAGTCCCTACCATGTACCAGGCAGAGCATTGCAGGCATTCTTTATTTTATTCTTAGAACAGCCTTATGAAGTGGTTTCCCTTGGGTCTTCCTTTTTTTTTTTTAAATTGGGGAAAGAGTTCAAGTAATGTGTCCAAGAGCACTTGGGCTAAACTAGAAGGCTAATAGAACTAGGATCTAAACCAGGCAGCCAGACTCTAGAATGCTGGCTCTAAAATGCGTGATTTATAATATTGTACTGTTGTATAAGTTTTGTTACAGTATGCCACATAATACTTTTCACCAAGAGAGTTTCTTCTGTACATTTAAAGATAGTTTTTATTCTGAAATTTTATTAAATGGGAAACAAAAAAACTATTTTAGACTTAAATATAATTTTGACTCCCCCGCCTATGTTAGAAAAATGCATTCTGAGTTATAAATTGTCTCCTAATTTTCGACAGTGAGATTTGCACAGGTGTACATGATACCAGGCATGAGGGCTCCTGGGGATTAGAAACATTTTAGTGGTATTTAAATGAAATATTTTTCATTTGAATGTTGCAGTTTTATTTTAGGGTTTGATGTCATAAATATACAATAAAACGATATTTCTCTCAGTTTATTTTATTATTGACATTGCTAACTCTTCTGGATTATTTTTTCTACATCATTGTTTCTATTTTCCAGACAATTATTAAGGATGTCAGAATCTTAAAAATAGTTTAACCTTTCCTTTAATGGGCAGGGCTAATTCGTGGATGCACCATAACTTATATTTGTCCTTTGTGTGATTTTATTCTGTGCTTGCTGTATGCTCCGTCACCTTACTCAGTTCAGTACTTTGGAATTTCTTATTCACTTCTCAGATTTTAGTTGAACTCAGTTCAATAATTAGAGGCTCTGAAAGGTTTTCCTCTTGTCTGCGTTGTTGGTGCTACATTGAACTCTCCCGTTCCCACTCAGCCTCCCAGAATGGCTCTTTCCGTGCCGACTCACGCCCTGGGTGTCTGTATTCTCGTCTGTAAAATCAGGGTAACGCTAGCACCGCTCACATAGACTTGCTGTGACAGTTAAGAGGGGGTACACACACACACACACACACTCACACACCCTCAGAACTGATTAGAAAAAAGCCGACACCTTGTATTACCTATTACTGTATTGTACTGGCTATTATTAAAATTGCTTTTTTAGTGGCATTTGTATTAAAGATGTGCCTTATCTTTATAGAGGTCTTTATTAAGCTTTTTCTCTGGTGACTTGCAATACAACATGTGCAATTCGCCATTTGACCTTAATATAATTAAAAACATAAGAGCTAGGAATTATGAAAAACAACATGACTTAAAGATTGGTAGTATTTACAAG